CGATGGATATAAATACTTTGCGGAAGACAATTGAGTTGGGTCTGCTGGCAGGTGCACGGAAAGCGACAAATAAACAATGGTCGCGGGATAATTTCCATGCACAAATAACTGTTTTATGACAGGAAATATACGGAAAAGTCCGCTTAATTATTTTAAGTTTTAATGTTCAAGATTGTTTCGGCAAATAAATTCGACAAAGCATCATGTAAATGCGATGCAAGAGAGTGCCCTTGCGTAATTATCTAATTTTATGCACGCCCTTGTGTTAAAAGATCAGATCTCATTAACAAATAAGATTCCCTATTACATTCAGTTAGGTAGTAACGCAAATCTCTAATTAGTGACAAAAACAATACAAAAACAAACACGCTTAAAATGCGCATGCGCAGAGTTTTTCGCTGATTTTTCCTTTTCGCCGACCGCGACCCCACTATTCTGCCAGGCAGAAGGGAGAAACGGAGGTGAGAATCGATGATAGCCGGAGTGGGCACGTTGGGGACTGACATGAGCTATTGCTTCCCTCGTTTCTTCATGCTCAATTCAGGATAATATCTATTCCGATTTGTTCCCAACGACGTTGATATTCAAGCAAACGTTGTCTTCGTTTCAATTAATGATTTTTCGCCGCCCAATGCTAAAAATAAACACGTTTAACAAATTACTAGCTGAAAGGAGTTTGGACAGTCATATACTATGAAAAGGCGCCCTACGTTGGGCTTTAAACAGTGTCAAAAAGCTTTTCATCTGAATGATAACCAGTTAATAATGATTATATCTCAGTGTCGGATCCAGGGAAGGGGCCTGGGAGGCCCCGGCCCCCTTTATCTCAGGGTCTGGATGACCTGCCCCTCCCCCCCCCTTATGTCAAGGTCTGGATCCGGCATTCAGCGTTGGAGGGAGGAAAGGCGGGAAAAATGACCCGCGAACTATTGGAAGACACTAACGAGAAGAAAGGGACAAGATGAGTGATGCGCACAAAACAGGAGGACACTAGCAGAAAGAGAAGCAGCCTTCTCTATTCTTGCGCAAGTTTTCTCTCTCTCATTTCTGTACATTTCTACTGAACCGGCTCCGCAAGCTTATCCACTCTGAAATGCTAGCATGGAAAAGCGCCATATGCCGGTTCATAGGTGTTTTTTTTCCCTCTAAATACATTAATAAACAACCAAACAAAATGGCAAGATTTGCTGGTTGTCTACGGGAGGACATATCTAATGAGACACATCAGTCTGGTCCGGACTTCGAGAACATGGATGACGCTGTGTCTCTATACCGAAAATTTCAGGGGACACTTTTTCAATAATCGTAATATCTTGGTAATGAAATCTGAAAAAACTCACAACCTCTGAAAACGTAGTAAAAATAATGGAAATCTCTGTATATCTTGAATGAATAGAATAGTTACCCAGAAAACAGTTTTGGCCGTTGTCGAACTTTAGAAATTTCTAGACAATATTTGCTCGTTCGAACAGTTATTTTATAGCAGTCAAAGGCAGTACCATTATTCCTCGGTCATGTTGAGACCCTGAGTATTGGTCCGGCCCCGAGAATCGAACCCACGACCTCCCGCTCTGCAGTCAAGCGCTCCTACCGACTGAGCTAATCCTACTGCGGTTATTAAGGTTCCAAGACAACTGCTTGACTATGACTGTTGAATAATGGTTAATGGTTGGTTTGAATACCCATAGACCAATCATAACTAACGCTTTTCCACGCAAACGGTCCCACAAATCGTTGCGCCGAAAGTGTGTTCGCATTCGCCTTAAAGATTTCTGAGTGGGGAGTAGCAAATGCCATTCACTTACGAACTAGCCAATTAGGGCACCTAATTATTGTGTTTTTTTTAACAGTAGACTACCGTTACAAAATGATAAAACTTATTAGTATTTACCGAAATAGTGAATAGCAATTTTCGCGCGTTTTGATTGGCTCTCGTAACACGGAATAAAACTTAGCGACGAACTTTGGCTTGTCATTGTTTACTGGTAGGTAGAAAATTATTTTCATGCTGCATTTGCAAAAAAATAGTAAAAATGCACTTGACAAAATCCCCGAAATGTTTGTAAATTGTAAAAAAAGTTCTTACTGAGTGAGTTGTTTAATTAACAAAAAGTCGCTTATTTAATTTTTTTCTAACTGATCTGGTAAATACTAAAACGACTATCCCCCTCGGTGTCGGTGAACAGCGCTGGATATATACGTCGACGCTTCGCGCCTTGGCATAAACCACCACTATTCACCTCCCCTTTAGGGGATAGTTGTATATAATTGCCAAATAACACTTACAAGTAGTCCCAGCTAGTCGATGGTTTGTATTGTATGCCAAATAACAACTTAAACACCAAAAAGGCTTCCAAGTTCCCTTAGGGTTGGTTAACTGTTAGAAAAAAGACCCGATTATGCTTGCTTTCTTTAATAATCATCTTGACAGGACTATTTTACTCAAGGGTATTCACAACCTCTTTCTGATGGTAGCCGGGATTACAGATACCTCAGCTCGTCTGAAACAGGTGGATACAACGAACTGATGTTTGAGTACAGTTCTGTTAGCCTGGGCCACAGACTACACTAAGTTCTGGTTAGGTCTATCTGCTTAACAGTGCCAAAATCCTTGTTCTAGGCCCCCACCTGTGTATCGGATTTGAGTAAGCGCCATGATTGGTCCGTTGAAAAAAGCTATTGTGGATTTGTCAGTCAGGATGAAAGGAAATTTGATTAACAGTTAACACTGACGTACTTCCGGTAATTCGTTGAGTCCACTGGGGGCCCAGAACAAGGATCTTGGCGCTGCTTCGCAGACGTTACTAACCGTGGTTAGATTACGTCTGCGACACAGGCTACAGTTTTGTTTGAAAAAAAAAATTACAAAACAGTATTACAGTTATTATGGTTTAAAAATCACGGTAGGAGATAGTTGTAACTTTTGCCTCTTCTTATTCTGGAATACGATCGTTCGAACGCAGCCTAATGCTACCTTACCTTGGCTGAAAAGAAAAGCTGTGTTGATGAATTGGTTGGTTTGTCTTATTCTTATGGCATTTTAATTTCACTTTACAGCCTGGTAAATAAGTGCATTTAATTTAATCTGGGCATACAGCGACATGGACATCACTAACGAAAGGAACTGTAGTATACATTCTCGCAAAGGTTTTAGTTCGCAAAAGGTTGTTATAGTCCCGGACGAGGGCACTACCACTACCATTAGAGTGACGACGAACGGAGCCACTCGTCTTCTACAAGCACAGATCACTGGAACTGTTGTTCTAAGAAATTTTTAAACAGCTCATAGTCAAAAATACTGCTGTCGAACTTGTATTATGCGGCCACCTTTAATATACCACGCGCTCCAATTACTTGACGCTGGAAACGTTTGCCTGAACTCTACGGAGTAGTCTTATAAGCGCTTAGAGTTATAGTATATACTAATAAAAGAGGGTTTAGAGTCGTAGCCGGTTCCAAACGTTCAAATAGAAGAGTGCGGCGTTGAGAAGGTGGGTATCCTGCGTAGCAAGCGGTTCCGCGCGAGTTCGTCGAGAAAACTGGAACGAGAGCAAAAAAGGTACGCGGGGAAAACGAAGGGAGAGAGATTAGGGGAGACTGGAGCTTTTCCTCCCTACTCGTCTCCCCTCGTTTTTTCCCTAGTTTATACTACTGCATGAGGAATTTCTTCAATTTGATTGGCTAAGAGCAGTGGTATTTCAGCTTAATTTGAAATACCTACACGTGAAAATTACAAATCTTTTGAGGGTAGTAGTATAAACAAATAATAGCATGATTTGCACGTGATATTAGGCATAAAATACCACTTGATATTGCAAAATTGTCTCAAATATAACTCGTGCTATTTATGCCTAATATCACTACAAATCACGTTATTACCTATACTAATTTTTCGCCCACGGTCTACTGTCTGAAAGCCCTGGAACAGGCTATTGGGGTCACGATTACGGCAAACCACAAATGTCAGATTCAAATTGAACAATTCTCAAAATACAGCAGATGAAAACAGCTCAAAACAATTCTTTAAGATAAAACTGGCGTTACTCTGCTGATTTTCGTGTAGTTATAGTGAACAATAGACGAGAACTAAAGGGAAAACTGGATCACGTGAGAGAAATTCGCGTTTGTCGATGTCGCAGACATGACTCTAATTTTCTCTCTTTGAATATGGTTGATCCGCCTAGATTAGCGAAAGATACCTACAGATCATTTTAACAAAGTAGGACTTTATGAAGTTTAGGTTCCTTCGGGTTGTTATCTCTGTTACTCAAAGTCGTGACAAGGCGGCAATGTTTGAGGACAAAACAAGGTTTATTTTCGCAAAATTTGTATGAAAAAAAAAGTTTTTTTCCCAGCGGAGGGAAACGCTTTTGTTTTTGTTCACAAGCATGGCCCCGGCGTGACGTCAGCAATCGTCTGTAACTAACGGTCACCCCATCCTCGGAGACCAAGGGGCAGATAAAGGGAGCGACGGAAAGTCTAAACGGGCGGAAAAATATGTATGGAACGAAGAAAAGTAAAGAACGGCGAGAAGAGCCCCTGGGGACAATGTCTTAACAGACCAGTTCCAAACGGTCGCTGCCGTTCCGGCTTCTGATTGGTGCAAGAAAAACAAGTTTTCTGGCACCAATCAGAAGCCAGAACGGCGGCGACCGTTTGGAACCGGTCTGGTAAGACATTGTCCCCTGGGGCTGTTCTCGCCGTTCTTTACTTTTCTTCGTTCCATACATGTTTTACCGCCCGTTTAGACTTTTCCTAGTCCCCACTATCTGCCCCTGGGTCTCCGAGGATGCGGTCACCCATGAAGGGGTATCACGCCAACTTTATTCCGTTTGAAAAAGGAGGACTGAATATTCTATGAGGTCTTGTGGTGAAAACTTCGCGGAGTAACGGCGAAACACCTGGCCTCGGTTGTTCAAAGGCTGGATAGTGCTATCCACCAGATAAATCTCTGAATCAGTGGATAGTGCAATTAGTTTCCCCAACTGACTTATTCGCTG